TCCCGCCTTTATCGAAGAATTCGAATCTGATAACGGTTTTTAATCACGCAATAACATCTAATAAATGCTCAAATCTTGAAAATTGTTTTGATAGTATTCTACTGTCTTTGCGTTTGAGTGACATATAGGTCTGCATAGGAGCCGCCACAGAATAAATATAGGATGTGGTGAGTAAAAGAGCACCGTATGTGGTCACTGATGATGCCATTAGAATTGCAACTTTCTAATTCCCAAGGTTTGACAAAAATGCATATGTGACTGGAGTAACGGAGCAACTAGAGCAAGGTTATCAGACCAGGGGCCAAACATTTTGCCCACCTATACTGGCGGGCCATGCAAGTTTGACGTTAAAAGTTACATTTTATGAACAATATTTACTGTGTCACTGAAGAAAAAGTAGAAAACAATAAGCCTCATGCCACAACTAAATTCAATTGCAATCTCAACAAACTTCTTGAGCTATTTTTCAGCTAAAACATCAAAATTTGGTTTTGATTTGTTTGTGGCAGCATCAGGCAGGCCATATTGAATTACTCAACGGGCCGGATTTGGCCTGCGAGTCGTAGTTTACTCATGTCAGAACTAGATAAATATGCGTTTAATAGATGTTAACAAATTACGAGAATCAATACCCGCCTTACAATTTCCGGTCGCTTTTTCTATTCCGGCTGCAGTTAATTAATTTCTACCGTTTAAGAATAAATCAATGAACGATATAGAACAGTACTTAATAGGTTTTAGATAATAAACGGGGTTTGCTTTGTAATCAAGAAAAAAGGTTCGGAAAATTTATTTCTAAACTATTCGTTGCCGTCAAAATTCCTACGCACGTCATCCTATTGAGAAAATGTACTTATGATTTATTTGACATTTTGAATAGTATCATCAATAGTTCGGGTAGTATCTTGCGCGGTAAACTGATGTACGCAAAAAAGTTTTCAACGGCAATTATTCGTAATACGTAATGCGAATTGTACGCTTTCAATTCAGGTATTAAATTGTACCTATGTTCCCATATATAGCTTTATATGAATACATATGCAGACATATAAGGAAGTTAAACAAGCGATCAAAGGGGCTGAATAGGCCTAATTTCTCAGCATAAAATGGCCTTATATAAGGGAAACTGTAGACTGATTGCCAAGCAATATGTGCACGTGCAAATCACAACAAAGTAGGATTCCCACGCTAAGCCACACAAGACGTTTGGCAATCCGCAATAATATTTTAGAGACAGAAAGTTACCCTCAAGGTTGCTATATGCCCCCAATAGGAATTGCAAAAATTCTCCAATGGTTATTCAAAACGAGCACTCCTATCTGTTTGTTATACACATGGCAGATTTATGAATTGGAAATTCTAGTTCGATAGTATTACTATATACAAAGTGTTCATAAAGTCCCTTTACAATTTAAATTTTGTTAGGAAGTCAGTTCTCAATATTTTTTAACCAGGTTTGTTGTTTTCAATCAGTGATTGTTTATATAGTATCGATAAATTTCCTTTGCAATTTTAAAAAATTTCAAGACTTTATGGACACTCTAAATATATTTTAAATACAGTACATCGGTTTTGGCGTATACAATTATACATCGTATACTAGATTACGTGAAATTTGTTGATATGATGTTAATAAATGCAATGCGTTTTTAAAAGTTTGAACCGGGCGATAACACATTTTAACACACACGCCACCTCTGCACTTCCAAGCGAGCTCGCAAGCACGGCCGTTTCTATTTCAAAGTATGAAATATGAATTCAAATGGGGAAATAACCCGGTCAATAGCCAAACAGATTCACAACTGTACGCACCATTTCAGTTGGGTAAGATTTAAATTGTATATGATTCTGATTTGAATGAATCGTGTAAATATAAAATTGATTAGCCCTTTCGTTGCACAAAAATGCAATTTTTCACAACAAAAATTTAGCAAAATGACCCACATATTTGGCGTCTTAATATTACTTTGATTATACACGGCGTAATAAAGTCCCGTTGCAATTGATTAAGTGCAATTTGTAAATATTTTATTTCATGTAATACATCTGTGATGGCCAAAACAATATATGGTATCGATAAATTTTAAAAATTTTAAAAATTATGGACACCATATGCATCATTTTTAATAATTGCACATTCGATAAATATTCAGCATCGCAGAACATCAAATTGCTTATTGTTATCCTCTGTACTTTGTTGAAAGATGAATTCCATCTCTATACGAAATCCATGGATCACCTAATTATAAACCACATCAGGTTCCATATGACAAGAAGCGTTTAACCTCAAACTCAGATCTCGTCTTCAGATCAAAATAGACCGTAACTTCAAAGCAGCTATATATCTAATACTTATGATTGAAATAGAACTTGCATTATCCAAGATGAGGTGACATTGCCGAAGTATATTTGTGACTGCGATACCTTGTAATATAGCAGAGGTGTGCAAACTGCGACCCGCGGACCAAATGCGCCCACGAGGAAAAAATGTGCGGCCCGCAGAGAAGTGCCAATTCTGAATGGTGTGCTGCCGAAGGAAATGAGTTTTTAATTTAGTTTAATCTGGTGCGAGTAATTCGAACCCCTTTGCATTACAGTGCTATAATCTATATATCACATTTCAGATGCCAGTATTTCTTAGATACTGGGAAGTCTTCTCGTGTAAATCTTGATTAGTTGGACAGATTTGGATCAAGGCGCTGTAAGGTGGGAAATAAGAAAATATCTCATGATTTTTCTGCATAAACAATCGATATCAAATATACGTTAAATTGTTTTTTATTATCCTATGTTGGTGTATAATATTAAATAATCTATGTCTATGACGTCATAGTGCCCAAAAAGCAAGCTTGTGCGAAGCGAACAACTTATATCAAAAGATCAATCCCCAAAATTTTTGTGCCTTCAACTACTATAAAACCTATGTTAAATAAAAGCGCGGCAGCAGTTTCACCAAGTTATTAGTAGGTGGCCCTCCTGTATTAAAGGTTGCGCGCCCCTGTTATATAAAATATTTTCAAAATTGTAAACGACAAAACTAGCATGTGCTCGCCCACACAGAATCGAAATTATGAAAGTTGTCTTGTCTAAAGGTATAAAACGAAAATCTATTGCACAATCTGGCCGAATAAAACGAGCTAATTAAGGTTTGCCACTTCTTCTTCACACCACGGCACTGTTAAACTAATTGTCGGAACAGATAGTTAACAAAAGAATGATGATTATTGTTATTATAGCATATTTTGGGGCTCCCGAAGTATGCGAACCAAGATGGCGGACATCGGAATGTAATATGTGTACTAGGTTAGGGTTAGGCCATAATTTTAGGTATAAATACTACGGGAGGCTCTTGGCTAGTCTTCGAACTGATAATAGGACTAAAATAAGGAAAATTGGAAAAAAATTATCGCCTAACCCTAACCTGTTACCCATGATACGTTCCGATGTCCGCCATCTTGGTTCGCATACTTCGGGAGCACCCATATTTGTTATTGTATCTGTTGTTTAATGCTTCGAGTCTGTCGTGTATCAGTGTTTACTAACGCTTACTACAACACCAAGTCTTTATATGGTTTGTCGCTATTGGTGTTTTGTAGTTTAAATTCGTAAATTTTCAAATATTTTGATAATTTGCTGCCACTCAATCTTATCAATTATTAATGAAAAGCATTGAGTTTCATAACGATATTGTCGTATTTTCCCCATTTTGAGTGATTGCATGACATTCGCCACTGGCAAAAAAAATGGTCTAAAATGATTGCTTCCTCACCACATGTTACACTGTCTTATGCTTATATTTTGATTTTTCTTAGTTTTGCGGCATCGCCATTTATCATAATTTCTCTTTATTCCTAAACCATCATTCTCAATTTCTCAAAATTCACTTTCCAGGTATTTTGCGGAATTTAGTAATCCATGCGCGTTTATTGTGATTCACAATACCACATAGGTCCCAATCGAATGACACAATAAGAAAACAAACACAATCAAATATTCATGAAGATGCCTCGCCGTGACATTGACCGTGACATCATAACATCAGCTGATTAATGACGTCATAAAAACGTTCTCAAAGTTCAATTCTAAACTGATTTTACGGCATAAAATTGAGTATGCATAATAGATTTTGCAAATTTTGCTACACGGCAGTATTATGACGAACGAGCTGAAATTGTTGGTTGTCGAGATGGAGGGTAATACTAATCTGTACTTATTGTTTTCTTTGTTCCGGGGCAAACAAACGCGTTTAATTACATGAGTATTGCGTAATCGAGCATGCGTTTGCATTGGAGAACAACAAAAATATCATATTTCTGATGCCAGTATTTCTTAGATACTGGGAAGTCTTCTCGTGTAAATCTTGATTAGTTGGACAGATTTAGATCAAGGCGCTGTAAGATGGGAAATAAGAAAATATCTCATGATTTTTCTGCATAAACAATCGATATCAAATATACGTTAAATTGTTTTTTATTATCCTATGTTGGTGTATAATATTAAATTAGATTCGTTTTAGAGAAAAGCGGGCAGTTTTCCAAATTAGAAACAAATAATTAGAATTTTGTAAGCTAATTAATGCCTTACATGCAGCTGAAACATCATTATTAATCATTTTTAGGTTCAAACGGGGACACAATTTGGTAATAATAGAATATTTGGTTAATGAAAACAAGATGGGAGCCTTGTTGTTAACTGATTGAATAAATATTATATTTCATTCATTGCAAAATTTGGCAATTTTATAAATTTTTTGATTTATTATCTATTCTTTATCATCCACAATCATCAATATATAATAATAAGATACTTTATTGATGAAAGCCATATGGATAACATTTTTATTACATCAATATTTGTGAAATTTTCTTTCAGAAGGGGATGTTTCCGGCGATTTTATGTATTTATCGATTTCTCATATTTTAAATATCATTCATAATTATCGTCGCCGGATATGGCATTCGTAATTCTTGTAGCATCGTGGGAAATAATCTTTTCATTACCTGACGCAAGTAACATTTTTACGAAATGTTTTATTTTAGTGATGTATTGGAAGCCAGATGACTGTTATTGTTTTGGTTGCAGTGCAGCACCAGTCTTTTTTTTTCTTTATTTTTTTTCTTTATAATTATTGTCGCTGGATATGGAATTCATACTTCTTATTTATGTCACAACATGGCCATTATGGCCGGCAAACGAGGGAGAGTACAACGAATAAATCAGTTGGGGTATTTTTGGTAGGGTTATAAAATATGTCATTTTATTACCGGGGCGCACAAGTATTTGGACACATTTCCTATTGAATCGAAACTTCGAGTGAAGGAGAAGAAAAATAGAATGTTGCAAATTAGGGCGCTCCAGAAGTATGTGTTCCAATATGGAGGTAACTAATTTTGTTCGCCTACTTTACATCAAGTTGTATAAAGGGACATTGGTAGCGGGTATATTAACTTGGCTAACACAGACAGTACCCGTTCTCGTAATAGAACTAAGATAGGGAAAATCGGAATAAAATTATGGCCTAACCCTAAGCTGGTACACGTACTACGGGAGTGCCCAAATTAAATATATAATGGTTTTGCTTAGAAATTGCGACGGCATGGATTTCATCTTTTTGAGCTCGACACATAATCTTATTTTGCCATTCGCGGGGACTAGACGAAACGCAAATTGACGACGTTTCATCATTTACCGGAAATTTTGCCAAAATCTCCGAACGAGAAAATATCGCCAAATGTATTTTTTAAATTTACTTTTAGTTAGCAGTAAAATATCCAAAATTTTGAACAGCGTACGTGAGCTTGACATAGGTATAAATGGAGATTCAAATTATCGGGGTTGTTTGAAGGTTTTTCAAATCAGCATTCAAACAGACAGAGACAGTGCGGTAACTAATGCAAGGATTACTGTATTGATATAAATACAATTCTGTTTGTACATCTGATTGCATTTTATAAATACTCAGTTATAGATGGTCGAATTCGCCAGTTCGAGTAGCAGGTCAGTTTTGTTAGCATTTTGTGTTACGACAGCGTTAAATTGAAAGTAAATGTGGGGCCACTTTGGTATGCGATCTCTGCGGATGTGTGATCCCATTGTTTGCATGTTTTTTTTCAAAACAGCGTACAAACAGACAGAAACAGTGCAGTTGTCGTGCAACAATTCTGTTTTTACATTTTTCCGCAATTTTCTAAATACTCCAGAGTCTAAATCCTGGATGTTGAAATCGTCAGTTCAGCAGCAGTTCAGTTTTGTTAGTATGTTTTGTTGCGGCAGCGTTAAATTGAATGTAAATGTGGTGCCTATGTGGTACGCGATCGCGGCTGTGTGATATGTGTGTATGTGGCTATTGAAAAAACAGATACAATATTACGACCCAAGAGGCCTCGCGAAAGACTATTCAGTCGTGTCTATCGTCTTTGATAAGAGTGAGTGCAACAATTCCCAATTCATACCTGATTCTATTCTATAATTTAATTTTTTTTATTACAGCTTACAATTTTAAACTTATTAAAGGAAATAAAACCTTAGCAAATATCAAAACGTGGATATTTTTGAAGTATCAGAACACGTTTCAAAAAAACCATGAATTATAGCAATATCCATCCCAGAAATTCAATTTCATATGCACCATCTGCGAAGAAAAAGTTTGAAAAGCTCTCAAGTGGAAACAGCACATCAATGAATATTGAAATCTCGTATTTAAATATTCGAAATAGTGAAAATAAAGCGGAATGGATAGAGGATTCTCCGTATAATCATCATGAATGGATAATATGTGAAGTGATACATCTTGTGTGTTTCTTCCTTGCTTTATACATGCTGTATGCTCTTGTACATTTCTACACCGTACAGCAGAGACATCGAATCTATTCTGGTGAGAGCGATAATTTTTAATAAATTTTGATTGAAATTATTCGCGCAATACCATCTTTTTATTTAATTTAATAACACTTCAAATCATGAAATATTTATGCATTTTCTGTGTATTTTTTTTTTATTTCCCTCTCCGCAAAGTCCTGAGCCTTAACCCTAACAGTGATAGATGGGACCAATGATAGAAAAGTTTTAAACAAGCGCTGACACGCTAAAAGGCATTCTTCTGACAGAGATGTCGTTGGCAGAGATGTCATTTATCTTAATAACAAAATGACTTTAAAAATCTTACAATATTTGGACAAAATTTGGCGTCTTTTAAATGCATTTACCTATAGAAATGTCAAAGCCTTCCGCTAAAAGCGATAAAAATAATGCTAGAAAAGCCCCACTGACACACTAAGAAGCATTCTTCTGGCAGAGATTCATTACATAATGGTTGGCAAAAAACTTGAATCCATCTTTCCACGTATCCCTCAAACAGTAATACTGCGCATATGCTCAACTTTCATCATTTAAAGCAGTTGTTTCCAACCTTATTTGCGTTAAATTCATTCATTCGAATATTTTTTAAAATTATTGTTCCACCCTCAATATGCAAAAACCTACTTTATATTAATTCAATTTTAATGGATATTTATGCGTTTCCCGATTTCGTACAGTTTTAAGTAGCTTTTAATATGTGCATAAATAAGTATTGTAGTGATAATAAAAAAATATAATACTACAACAAATACAAAGAAAATACCCCCCTCCCCCCATCCAAACAAAATCCCTCCCCGGGGTGTTACCGAGCACAAGATTAGGTTGTAGTCGGGCATAGGTCACCTCATAAAAATATTATTGAAGAATTTTATCACTTGTCTTGACCAATTTTACCTGGGTTTAAAACATTTGACTTTTGTAATTTTTTTTTAAAATACTAGTATACTGTACATATTTATACAGTAATTGTCGATTTTAATTTCGAAGGTATTGCACAACTTGTTTTGTCCGTCCTATTCTCACGCGAATAGAATACATTTGCGACAAAATGACAAACTCGAAATATTTTGCAAAGATATGTCCTCAAAACAAACTTTCAAAGACGTAAAAAATTCAATATACATGTTTTGTAAATTTGAAACCTCATTACCCCAACTAGGGTGAAGTTACCCCAAAGTTATCCCAAGTGTCATAAGGTGACAAATTTAACAATGATAAATTACCAGTAAATATTTGTCAAATCTGAATTTTCAAAGAGGAATTAAGAGTCATATTCTCCCAAAATACTGTTTTTGTTTTCACTCGTACGAAGCTGATTGTGAATCCCCTGTTCTTTGGAACTAGCTGGGCAAACAAAATTATCAAATGATATTAAAACTCCACTTGTGCTACATAATGATATTACATACTTTTGAATCGAGGCTTTGGGTTATTGTTAAAGCAGGTTACCTATTGACATTAGACTGCTTGTTATCACATCACACCTGACACATACTGTTGCGTCATAAGAAACCACTTAACTTGAAACACATTTCTAAACGGTAATGGCGTGAACACACAGCGTTATTGTGACAAATCCAAGGTTATTGATACTTTGCAGTTCGCAAGATAAATTAATGACTAAAGAATAACTGTTGAATTGAACTAAATTTAACTCGTCTTTTTAAAAGTGTAACTATGTTTTCTCGCATACGGCTAGAAAAAAACATTGTCTCGTTAAATACATTGAAAAAACTCTTATAAAATTAAAAAAAAGGGCATTTGCAAATTGACTGGTAATAAAATCGTCTCTCCCGTAGTCTGTGCACCAGGAAGACGCACAACCTGAACTCTAACATGGTACACATACTATGTTCAGGTTGTGCGCCATCTTGGTGCATATACTGCCGGAGCACCATAAAATCAGTTGATTGTCTGGATGCAAATCTGCAAAATTGAAAATGGTAAATTATGAGTGAAAACGAGCTTTACGGAGACAACCGTTAAACCGCATCAGATAGAATAAAACAAAACAGTAGACTACGTGATATGGGAGAAGTACGTACGATACTAAATATGAGGGATCTATAGGTGCAATGCGCGAATATATAGTCTTACCAACTTATCGTAGCAAATAATTACCGTATATCTTCAAAAAGTTTGAAACTCAAAAAAGTTGACAAACTAAGGGGTCGTCTTACACGCGTATACATAACAACGATGGTTATCATTTTCATTATTTATCAGCGCCAACCATTTGATTAGGAACGGCATGCTACGACTTCGCTTATATGCGAATTTATCGTTACAGACCGAGATCGGAATTTGAAATGTTCTAATGACGGCCCATCCAATTTCTCACGATTAAGCATTTAATCGTCCATTAGCGCAGCTGAGCATCGAATACAAACGAATTAAATATAAACTAGTTGCAAATTTTGGTTCGAGTTATAATTACGGACCTAATGCGTAAATAGGGGACCTTGCATACATAAAGATAGTTCTAGGGTAGGAAAACACGCGTTTCGTGTGCGTTCAAATCAACTTCATACTTATTATATTTAAAAAAAATTATTAATCTCTTTTACTTCATTTAATTTTTTTTTTACTACATAGGTCGTTCAAGCGGAAGTAGATGGCTTGAGAAAATGTGTATTATGTCGGCCGTATGCGCCATCGTCCGGTTTACCAACAACCAATATTTACTGTTCACTTGGTGGCATGAAAGAGACCATTGCTCTGTTGTGCTGAACATCAGCATCGCGTTGTATTTTGTATCTATGTATCCGATATATTTCTTTCTCTGGCTGAGACAGGTAGGTTGAAGCAAACTTTGCTATTTTTGCCAGTCTGACTTGATAAAATTTGATCGAATCGCCACAGAAAGGCGGATCGAGTCAATACTTGAGTAATTATGAAAATCGATAATAAAGCAATATAAATATTTGCCTCGCTGAAATTTATTTTGCTAAACACAATACGACTCCTAACTATCCTTCATTGACAAAAAACGATCATCAGATCTATATGAACTAATACACGGAATAAAAATGTCCCGTGAGCGCGTACTTCACTTGTATAAATCAGTCTCATTTATTCCTAAGCGAATTCGCGTAACTTTGTATTGAGCAAATGTCCATAAAAATAAAACCGTCTTCGTGAGTTTACAAGGGCTTTAAATTTATTAAACCTAATCTTATATGAAATATACTTATACTTATTCAAAAATTGGGTAAAATTTATTAGAGTATAATAATATCACTTATAGCGCGATCAGTTAGCCAATTATTATACCTATTCATAAATAATGCGCGGACATGCCGGGAATATGAGATCTTTAACCTATCAGGATTGTAATTCATTTAATTTTCTGGCTAAAAATGTTGACAATTCTTTTCTGACAATTTTCTGTTTTGTGTTTTCAGAGAATCTTCTATTCCAATCAAGCGTTAAAGCATCTCTACAACAAATTTACAAGATTTTTAAGTTGGGCAACAATTTTCTGCTTTTTCGTCCTTACTGGGGTGTCCATGGTCCTATTTGTCGTTGACAGAAAAAACAGCGCATCGGGTAGAGTTTGTGGCGACCATTACCATCACCATATAACGACAAATGGACCTTTGAACGACACAACGACAGCCAATGAAACACTGTCAGAATTTACTTTTTACAATACGTCAAAAAAATATCATCTACAAGGATTGCAAGTTAACACTATCGCTGGATTAATTGGTGGACTAATTCAGGTAATCTTCGGAACATTTTATAGAGCGTAATGCGAAAAAAAAAATTGTTTACCTTGTTAAAAACCGTTAAATACGGCTTCCTCTACCATCAAATCTATGCTGCCTAAAACAAATAACTAACTAATCCCGTACACGACATGGAATGGTAACCGAACGAGAGACCGTGGTTCCCCATATGGTTAAGCCGTCTTATCGGTTTTCCTCATCTCTGGGATGAATGTAAATCCTATCTTATCCTAATAAAGGTACAAAACTTTGCAATAACGTAGCGATCAACTCCCACAATCAATTTGAGGTACTCCTGAAGTATGCGTACCAAGATGGCGGACACTGGAAAGTAGTATGTGTACCAGATTAGGGCTAGGCTATATTTTAGGTACAAATACTACAGGAGTCACTTGGCTAGTTCCCGAACTCGTAATAGAACTAAAATGAAGAAAATTAAAATGAAATCATTACCTGACCCTGACCTGGTACACATACTACGTTCCGGTGTCCCCCACCTTGGTACGCATACTTCAGGAGCACCCAATTTGAAGTATTATTATTAAATTTCTATCAACGCAATTCTGTACAGTAAATTATAGGATGTAAGACTTGAATTTCATGACTACTGTTGCGGGTGTTCGAGTCATTGACTCGACTCGAGTTGAACTCACTCGTTTCTCCATTAATAAAGACTCGAGTTATCTTAATAAAATGAATAGTATTCAACTAACCGTCAATGAGATTTACCTCTCATACTGATTGACTTCGAACTAGAACCCGATTACAAACTCGTATGACTCGCGTCTCGGGGTTTCGGGTCTTCTAGAGGCGTAGCCAGGAACTTTAAACTGAAAGGAGGGGGGTCTAAAGTTTCTAATTGAAATTCAACATCTTGTGATTTCAGCTTAATAATATAGTTTTTTTTTATTTCGTTTCAGACTTCTTTCCTCGTTTTATTTCTCTACCCGATAATGGATAACAAACTTCGAGCAGTCCGCAACCTCAACATGCATTGCCACCACTCTCTTATGAAACTTATCCGGAGAACATTTTTACTATCCGGAGTCTGCATATTCTCAGATGTAGGAATTGCCCTCGGGGTCAAAGGTATCCATGCGTTGTTCCCGGAAGCGGTATTTGCACCGTTGGCGATGTACGACATCAATTTGGTCATAAATATCGTTTGCATAGTTGCCACATTTCGTCATTGGAGGAAAATGCTTTTTCCCTGGTTGTATAATTGCTTTGGGAGAAGCTTATTAAATAACAGTACCAGAAAATACTATCTCGAACACAGAGTATCTAGATTTACAAGTAGCAATGGCGGAGGCACCATATCATCCCCTGGCGATCGATTTAATCGCGATTCATCTCGCAGAGGGGCGGATGAAATAAAACTCAAAAAAGCCCAAGTTGTTGACGTCCTCGTGAGAAACGAAGATGGTGAAAATGGCGAAGCAAATGAAAAAATGAAAATAGAATCTGGAAATGTTTCTGACGTTGAAACTGAAGAAACTAATGGCAATTACATTCCAACAAGAAAATACCGCGCAAATTTTTCCCCAAAAACTTTTAGACCTGGTAACATAAATGGTTACAAATACAGGCGAACATACTCAGCGGGAGAAAGCGAGATGCCAAGTAAAACATTCACTATGATGAGCGGGACTCCGATATACGCAAGCTCTCACCTTTCTTTCAGATCTAAGAAAGCTAAAAATGTGGTAACGACCAAATTAGTTTTGAAATCAGAATCATTCCTACTCATGGACAGCCCAACAAAGTCTAACAGTGCTTGAAACCTTTATATTCGTCTGGGGTTTGTCACAATGTTGGTTAGTTCTGTCAACCGATTCACCGATGACCCTTTAAGACCCAAGGTGTAAAAGTTGGACATTACAAGTCGATTGGAATTAATTCAAATCGAGTTTCGACTTTTAAATGTAGCTGGAATGTGAATTTTGCGATTTTCGACAAATATTTGTTTCTTTTTAAAATTTTTGTAGTTTATTTCACTTTGAAGTGTTTAGTTTTGAATTTTTTGCAAAATAATAAAACACAGTTTTGCATAAACGTGAATGATTTTATCACCATGAAATAGACAGGAAAAGTTTGTCCAACCTATTATTTTCCAAGTTAGATGGCCTTTGGGTACTCCCGTAGTATGTGCACCAGATTGGGGTTAGGCGATAATTTTCGATATTCCGATTTTCCTTATTTTAGTTCTATTACGAGTTTGGGGACTGTCTGTGTTAGCCAAGTGAATATCCCCCTGCCCATAGGTGTCAGTCCATTTACACAACTTGATGTAAAATAGACGAACAAAATTAGTTACCTCCATATTGATACACATACTTCTGAAACACCGACCTTTGGACTAGTTCCTTCAAACCAAATTAATTAGACATGTAATCAGACTCAAACTTTAATTTTCATGTCCCTAAAATCAATCAAGTCTAATAAAATAATCCGATTTGCGTCAAAACCATCACACGCTAGACGACAGATGTTTTATAATATATGATTCTCCGTTACATAAGAAATAATAATATTATTTACAGTAAATCAAAACGTTTCCCGACCGAGAAGGAATGGGGGGGGGGCATTCTTTGAGGAGGGATTTTGCTCCGTAATTGCCGTGGTATTACTATTATTCTTTCATTTTTGATTATTACTTTAATACTTATTTATGAACAAATTATACATTACTTGAATGTAAAAAATGTGAGAGTGCGTCTTGCGGAGATTATCCTGTAGTATGTGTACCAGGTTAGTGTTAGGGCAAGATTTTAGTCCAATTTTACTTATTGTAGTTCTATTACGAGTTCGGGGACTCTCTGTGTTAGCCAAGTGAATATACCATAAGTTTCCATTCCATTACACAACTTGATGTATTGTAAAGTGAGCAAACAAAATTATTTTCTTCCATATTTGTACACACATTTCTGGAGCGCCCTAAAACAATTAAGTCGAAAAAACTAATCCGATTAGCGCCAAATCTACCACACACTAGTCGACAGATGTTTTATGATATATTGCATAACAAAATTTGGTTTTGTTAATTTCATCTGCATTTCATGAAAAATAATAATATCATTTTACAGTCTATGGTGTCCGTACGTTGAGTATATTTCAATATTTTATATAAAATAACAGGGATAAGGATGGATGGGCATATGGTCTCAATCGCCATTTGAATGGCCTTTTCCGGAATGGGCTATTTATCACAATTATTAATTAGGAAAGACGATATTCGAGAAATATTCGAGTCATAAGAAAATATACACCAGCATAGTAAAACTATTATACCTTTTATGAAGCGTGACAAAATATAGAAATATTAAAAAAAATAACAAACTCAGTAAACAATAAATTTTAGTAAACTCAAATCTTACATGAAAAATAATAGTTTTATTGCATTTTTAAACTAGCTAGTCATCGGTTAGGTATGGACTAAATTGGACCATTCTCGGCCCAAGCGTTTATATTACCAGTAGGAAAATTGTCTCGCGTTTCATTCAGGATTAAAATACAACTGCAAAATTATTGTATATTGTGCAAAACTATATCAGACTTCGGGTCATATATGCAGGAATACTAGGTTCGTTCATTTTGTATTGAGGAGTAAGGGTCATTTACTTGTTGAACTCGAGTCTATATTTGGCGCTCCAGAAGTATGTGTAACAAGATGGCGCACAACCTGAACCCTAACCTGTTACACATATGTTCAGGTTGTGCGCATATGTGCACATATGTCTTGGTGCACATACTTCTGGAGGTCCCTCTGTTTATCAAATATTGGAAGAGACTTAAGTCAAATAAATTGGAGTTATATAACGCATTGGTATTCAATATTTCATGTAAAATGTATGAATCTTAGTCATTATGTAAATGACAGTGATAAATATACAAAAACAATTGAATTTTGTTTCGTATTCAATAAGCCGACTTGTGTTACGTGATTGAATTTGAAATGAAAGCTAATGAACTGCCAATCAAGTTAAATGCAATTTCGCGCGGTTGCGTAACCATCAAACAGATATTGTTTTGTTGAAATCCTTAGAGAATTAAGTTTGTATATATAATGGTCATTTCAATTGTAGTGGCCATAAGCGTTAGCTAGGTATGAAATTGATATGTTGATAAAGCTTACTAAGAACAGAAGTTACAAAATTCAAGATTGATTTCTACGGATGAAGAAAACTTGCACTTCTATCAGCCTATATTTCATCTATTTCTATGAAAGGTCAGACCCTCGCGACGCATTGATGCTTCCAATAAAGGCTTCTTAGTGATGAACGATATAAAACGGCAACTATACTGATGTGTGATATAACTTAGGTCGCAATGCCGAACCGATAAAAGCTCAATCGTGACGGACGGACGACCCATAGCGTTGGTCTTAATTATTATTAAGTTTTACCAGAACGTATATCGACGTATATATATCAAATTATACATTAGTACTTAGAAATTTTATTTCAATTTTTGGTACTCCCGAAGTATAAAATTATGGCCTAACCCTAACCAGGAAAACATACTACGTTCCGGTGTCCGCCATCTGGGTTCACATACTTTGGGAGTACCCAAATTTTAGGCAATGGAGATGATATAGTAAGATGATACCTGTTATTCAATTTCTCACTATGTAACTGCGGACGGTAAAGGAATAAGAAATTGAAACGTTTCAATTTTATTTCCCACTACGAATACAGACAACAAGTGAATGCCATTGCTGACCCGTTTAGACCGCATGCGAATCGAAACATATGTTTGACCACCTTTTCTGCAATAAATTTGCCGTAAATAAACACCACTTACTTAATTGTGTGCAGAAACCTACATGACCTGCGGGCGCATTTTTCATCCAATTTTCTCCTTTTGGCGATTACTGAGACCAACAAAACTCAAACAAAATGATTGCCATTTCCAACCCGACATTAATCTTGTAGAAAGGGAAAATTAACATAAATCGCGAGCGACAGAAAGCGTAAATGGCTATACAAAGAGTCATAGTCTGTTGCGCTGCATAATATCTATCGGGGGATTACAAATTTCTCCTTATCCTAGTGCTGCACTTAGTAAATTTTACCGTCATACGTTTATTATGTTAGCATGTTCAGCACCAGTTGGTCGCTTGAGTGACCAAGCCAAAAATTAATTTGATATGTGGTAAAGTATTCAGAGTTTTCGTGAAGATTCGACCAATCAAATTCACACTCACTCACTGTACTCAAGAAATTGGTCTAGTACAAAACATTTGGAGAGATGTAGATTCAATGGTAGAAAAGTTTTGGGATTTAAACCAAAGGTGCAAAGAGTACTGAAGTATTAGTCAATCTCATAAAAAACTATTATGAATTTGGTCAAGCAGGTTATGCGCCAGCTTTATGTGTCCACAATACCGTCTTATTTTCAAACGCAAAATGTACATTTGGATGTGCGTCGAGCTTAGAATCTTCGATCTTCAAGGCTATCTCATTTCAAAACAATTACAACTGTCTCATTGAAAGTGTTCTAGAGTTTTAGTATTCTTAAACATAAGACGTTCAGTTTAGTTTTCAATATTTTTTTTAATATATACGTGAATAAAGCCCAAATTGATAGACAAATTCGGCGTAAATTTCGATGTTAATAAGAAGACTCTCGCGTATAATAACAATCTGGTTTTCACTGGACTACATATTTAATTCACAATAAAACAAGTCATAGGTTAGATTTAGTGGTATATTCTAATGTACGAGTAGGGGTTGACTTATAGTATCATCATTGGTCATCTGTGACGAGTCATCGCTAGCCATGGGAGTTTGGTAAATGAATTTTTGTTCACGGATATTATTCATAATGACGTTACGAGAATTGGTCACAGAATATGATGACGTAAAATTAGCAAACAGGAGCGAGTTTGGGCTGTTTACGATTTTTGGGGTTCAGAATCAAGACTTAGAGTAGACAAAGCCTGCCTACCAGGCACGTACGGGCCATGCAAGGTAAAATCAAATCTAGATAAATTAGGGTCACTTGAGTTCCTCAATATTGGTAAACAAACTTCTGGAGCGCCCTTATTTGCACTCATATGACTTTTGTTTCATAATAAGTGAATATTAATAGTTAATACTTAATATAAATTGACCCTTTTTCTAGTTAATCTGTAGTCAGTAAAAGTTCAAATTTCTTTGCAAAATGCTGAATACTACCAACACTTCAACAACAAAGATTTTGGAGGCAAGCTTCGGAACCTTGTACGACGGACATACACTATGGGTCGGATGCCAAATCACACTGACGATGATAACTTCTATTTTGCTCTATATTTGTGTGTGTATAAGTCGGTTCGCTTGGCTGGCTTATAAAGCTACGAAGAGGCGAATCCGATCCCCACAAGACTTATTAAATGAAGAAAATGAGTGCGGGTCTTCTCAAAAGCACAAAAAAAGCCTACGAAAGCGTGCAAAGTTTACGGAAAGCTGCAGGAGTAAATATAAACGAATAATGGTATTGATATGCCTACTTGCCGCAATATTCAGCCTAATTAAATGTGTAGCAGACCAACTAAAGTTTTTCTACGCCTGGAATGCAAGGTCAGACTGGATATGCGAATTTGTGTATGATATAACTGACAATATTTTATTTTTGTGCGCGTTCATCGCCGTTTATGGATTTCTATGGCTGAAGCAATGGATATTCTACAGAGACCCTGCAGTTGTAGGAATATTGTACAACCGCAGTCTAGTGATATTCAGCCGCGTGTTTGTAGTATTCGTCGTTGTAGCTGGGTTTGCAAATATGCTGGCGAACTTGATTCCGGCTAGATATAAAGCTGGAAATAGCACCGCAACAGTTAATGACCATCTTGCATTGGCTAATGATAAGTCATACTTTGGATGTGTTTCAACCTATGATATGGACAATCGCCATGACAGCTGGCCGTTAATTTGGTACGCAGCTCTCGCAGCGTCAATTCAAATAACCCTGCTAGCTTTGTTTATATATCCGTTATTAAAACAAAGAATCGATCTCTGGAAATGGAATAAACAACGAAAAAATAGCATTCGAACACGACAATCTGTAATTTCTAAGAGTAATAACGAAGTTTCAAACAGGAACAGTGAAAAAAACAAATCTTCGTTCATTATAAATAAGATGGAACCTAAAGGAAGCACTGCGACCGAGGACGTGTCGGCGGATCATAAAGGCAACAATTGCATTAACGAAATTGGCCGAGATCAAATGACTAACGTTATAGAAAAGCCCACAATGTCAGAAGATGCCAAACGAACCATAACACGTGCTGTAACATGGACTGCAATCTGCGTTGCAACTGACTTCATCCTATTCCTATTATTTGCTAATATGGGTCCAGGAACACCACTCATTTTAATATCCACAGCTCAGGATATTGATCTATTTCTGAACATAATATGTCTTGTCGCAACATACGGTACCTGGCAGCAGATACTCTTCCCGCTGTGCGTAAAAGATGACGTCATGGCTGACAAACCCATGACGTCATTACGAAAGAGCAATCATAGATCCACAAGCACAGAAACAGGTGTTGAAGATCGCCAATAACTGAAACTTGCGGAAAATATCACAAGATCAGAAGAATTGGTTGAACGTAAAAATTCCTATTTCCCAACGACTCTGGTTTATTAGTTCAAAATAGTATATACCTCGCGCACTTCGCAGTGAATGTGCAATACAGTACTATGTAATTTACCTATTGTTTGTATAGATATTTCTAATATTTATGTAGCAGCAATTTAGTGACACTCGCTAGAATGTATCTAAGATATAATAATGACATTTCGATTCCAGTCAGTCAGTAGTATATGTTTTCACATGCCGCAAGTACACATTGTACAAAAAAAGATAAGAAATGCATTTTAGTGTGAAGGGAAAAAAAATCAGTGATAGTTATCGAGCAGCGCCACCTATAAAAACCCCAATTTCAGAGGGTTTTTATTTGAATATTGATAACGAAAAAGCAATGTTATAACTTTGAAACTCCCATTTCTATTTTTATTCAGTTTATTTTCATTATTTTTTGTTGTTTTTGTTGCAAATGTGGGAGTGATATTTTACTACACGACAATTCATGTATATTTAATATAGAAGTGCGTGTACTACTGATAAAACGTCATATTTACGTCATCTAAATAAAATCTGAATATGATCAAAATTAGTTTTATTGTTATCAACATGAAATTACAACTAATGTCTGTAAAATTAAAATACATTGAATTGCTTTTTATCATACGTAAGAAATGGTGAATATTTCCCCAAAATTTATAAAATCGATATGCGCACATGGGTTCTCCAGAGCATCGACTTTCTTGTCAAATTCAGTTACATAGGCCAATCAGCAACAGCGACGTACAATTGAAATTTTAGTAGTCGAATTCCTTGTTGCTCCGGTAGCTTTGGCCAATCAGCAAAAGCGACGTACAATTAGAATTTAGCAGTTGATTTACTTGTTAATTCCGGTAACATTGGCCAATCAGCAACAGCGACGTACAATTGGAATTTAGCAGTCGATTTACTCGTTAATTCCGGTAACATTAGCCAATCAGCAACAGCGACGTACAATTGAAATTTATAGCAGTCGATTCACTTGTTAATTCCGGTAACATTAGCCAATCAGCAACAGCGACGTACAATTGAAATTTATAGCAGTCGATTCACTTGTTAATTCCGGTAACATTGGCCAATCAGCAACAGCGTCGTAATAGCACTGATTCAGACGCTTTATAATAGCTATATTTCTGAGACAGAACCACCAGCACAAGTACAGAATTGGCAATCCCCATACGCGGTTAGAATTTAAAGTTTTAAAAACGGGTTCTCTTTTGTACCTAACTGCCTAACCACAGGTTCCCTAATTTCAGAAAATGTATGCATGTCACTACGTAAGCTGCATTAAGTTAACACTACACGCTTTACGCAAATCTAACTCATAACTTTCAAAACGCCCAATACCGCTGCAAAAACCAAACCCAGGTTTTTGGGTCTTCTCGAACGGGTTTGTTGGTATCACGGCACTTCAAGAACGCGTTGAACGCGAATATTCTGAAACCTACTACTACCCATAAGAGTTATCAACGTGAATAAATCATACCGTTATTTGCACCAGCTATAAGAATATGATATACATATTTACCCCTTGGGAGACAAAAGCCGATAAGACGACTTAATCATATGGCGAACCACAGACTCTCGTCCGGTTACCAGTTCACCTCGGGTATGGGATTTGTTAGTTAGTTATTTGTTTTCGGAAGCATGGACTCGATGGTTGAGGAAGCCGTAACCGACCAGCGGGTACGTGAACCCCCTTACGGCGGCGAGGAGTCAAGCGATCCTCTCGCACATAACTATCCCCGCATGGGATTCGAACATGAAAACCCACACAGAGTAATCAGAGATGCGGTGGCAAGCGTATTCATAATGCTCATTAGCACGGTGCGCCACACCGCCGGGCCGTTTACCACCACAACCTTATAATTCCCATACCAGAAGCCGCAACTGCGGTCTATTCTTGAAATGTCAGGAAATAGTAAAACATGCAAAGACAAACCTGAATGCAACGCTCGCCTTGCAACCATATCAAACTCTTTGAAGGAGTTGAGGATGAGACGATGCGACTCTTTTGGTGTTGATGCCATTTCAGTCAGTGTAATGACATCGCCGTCTTTGATTCCAAACGTAAAAATTTCTACGCCTGAAAAAATATAATATAATTATATAGATTCGCGAGTTTCTTCGGGGTGTTCCGCAAAACAGGGATCGAAATTGCACTAATCGGTCGCCGTGACGTGCAAAAAGAGTAAAAAACCGTCAAAAACGTTGCACATTTTGGCACTTTCGTACGCCTTTTTCACTGTTTTTGGCACTGACAGTTTCAAATCGCCAAACACCGTTAGAAGGCAACCGTCAAAAACCGTTAGAAAGCAACCGTCAAAAACCGTTGGAAAGCATGCAAAACATCTCGACCGTACTTCTTGGACTGTGGGTCATAAATTCAGAAATTTGTAACTGGCTGAGCTATCTAAACAAGTGAAGAGGCCTGATGCCAGTCTGAAAAGCATTTGCATTTTAGTTAACCGATCAATATAGTTAACCGTCGGCCTAATTTTTCAATTGTAAAATTTACAGCAAACTTTTTAATTTTACCATAGGCTAAATTGAAACCGTCCATCAATTTTACATTCTAATTTCTTGGTGTTCCGCGGGGCGAGATAAAAAGGGTAGAGGGCGTTTGAGAAACGCTAATATAGAACATAACATATAACATTGTAAAACAATTCTAGCTTATATCAGAAACTATTATCTAATACAGGGTTTCCTAAACTTTTTGGGCTGCGGACTCCTGTTTGTGAATTTGATGTTTGACGGACCCCCATCTATACTGTATCAAGTTCGTGTGTCTAACCAACGAGGAAGCATAATGTTTCATTTACAAAACTAAAACACAAACGACACATTCTTGTGGTGGAAGAGATTACTTTTCACTGCACAAATAATCAATGTTTGGAGCAATTTGCGACAATTGTCCGCATCGTTCGACCAAAAAGCTGTAATGACTTATCATTGAAAGCAATCATTGCAGATTGATTGCAGGACTCACTGTGCAGTCATCACGGACCCTCGAGGGTGCGCGAACTCGAGTTTGGAAACTCTGGCTTGGGGCAACTATTGCGCAGCACAAAAAAGTTGATTTAGTTTTGCTGAAATGCTGTCTTACTGCAACGTACTTCTAAATGACTGTTATTATTATGGCGAGTATGGCGTTTGTTAACCCACCAACACCGCTTTACATAAATTATTATAAAAAACAAACAGGCCATTACATAGGCGGTGTGTGTCCCACTAAATAGCTTGGAGAATGACATATCTTTGGTTTGAAGGTAGTCCAGCCGGTGCTCCCGTAGTATGTGCACCAACATCGAGCACAATATGAACTTAGTATGTGTACCAGGTCAGGGTTATCAGGTTGTGCGCCATATTGATGCACATACTACGGGAGCGCCGCCTAGCCATATATGAGGTTACAGATAAATTATTAACTGTGTACTCCAGTTACCTTCTCGCTTTAATCTCGATGCCAACGGTCTTGGATCTCCAGCAGTATGATATCCATCCGTGATTAGAAATACTACTTTCTTCGACTTCAGTCGTGCGTTTTCAAGGATTATCTGAAGACAGTTTTAAACTTAGACAATGAAGGATTCATGTAATTGATGCAGCGTAAATTAAGGGGTTAAGACATGAATATTTTTCTCTGGCGCAAAAATCAAAAGTAAGTGGTGAAATCGTCGAAAAATGAATAAAAATTGCGCAATTTTTTGAAATGTAAATAAAAACACGAGTTTACATTTTACGATAGAAGTTAAAAAACTCACTTCAGCTCGTGTCAGTCCACCTCTAGTGAAGGTTCCACCTCCTCTGTAAAAGATTGGAAATTTTTGTTGAAATAGAGTTATTTGTTATTGTTTTATATTCCTAACACAAACACTGCAACACACCAGTCAGAGTTCTCTGGTCAGACTATAGAACTGGATTAGGCGCAATATGAACTATAACAGAGCAGATGAAATAGAAAAGCAAATACTGTGTGGAAAAATTTGTGGTACCAAAAGTAGAGGAAGACAAATCACATGAACTCATCAAGAGAACTAACAACAGATTGGATTGGAAAGCCATGATTACCGATTTCTGTAACAGACCTGGTACATGAAGAAGAAGAGAACTTAAAACTTCGGCATTGGTGATATTGCAATACTACTCCACCGCTACATATTTATTTATATTCATTTGAAATAAAAAATGCATCGTTATGTTCTATGTGATGTTTTACAGTTTACACCTCTGCTTTGAACAAAGCACTGCTAACGCAGCCACGACCAATGCGTATTTTATGTGTACAGAACAAAATGGTACTCTCGAAGTATGTGAACCAAGATGGTGGACACCGAAACGTAGTGTGTACCAGGTTAGGCCATAATTTCAGGTACAAATACTACGGGAGTCACTTGGCTAGTCCCCGAAGTCGTAATAGAAATAAAATAAAGAAAATTGGAATATAACTGTGGCCCAACCCAAACCTGGTATCCATACTACGTTCCGGTGTCCGCCATCTTGGTAGTACCAAAAAAGTTACTCACACATAAGTAATTGAAGGTAGATCTTGTGCAAGGAGAGAGCATTTGTGCGCATGGATTTCACCCATTGATACTTGATTGACCCAGGAAGTGACGTTATCAGAGTATGTTACCACCGCAACCCTTGTATGGTTCATATCGACTGCGATTCCACTCACGAAACGTGAAACGAATTTGATCTGTTATATAAAAAGGACATGCATAAGAATAAATGTTTTCAAAGATTAGAAAAAACGAAAATAACATACATCTGATCTTCGTTATTTTATACTTGTAATTTAATCTAATTTGAGGTACAAATACTACGGGAGTCACTTGGATAGTCTCGAACTCTTTATAGAACTAAAATAAGGTTAAATAGAATAAAATTATGTCCTAACCCTAACTTGGTACACATACTACGGAAGCAATTTTCAAGCGCGAAAGGTGACATCGCCATTCGATTATTGTCGGAAAGAATATCGCTGAGTAAAAATGACCACGTTGATAGAAGGTAAACAGATAGATTTTTAAAGAAACATCACATACTAGTAAAAATACTAGAAAAATGAAACAATCAATTTCTCTCACCTCGTCATTAAAGTTAACGAGTCCAACGCTGCTTGATTCATCGATAACAAATATAAGATCGAGTTGTTCATGACCTTTTAACCTCTCAACGTTTGTTTTGAAAGTATTGGTCTGAAAATGTAACATAAAAATAAATGTGGGAAAGAATTTATGAAGATGACAATTTTTGTCTTTACGTCGCTTCTGCCATATTAGTTGTAAAAATTAATATTCCGTTAAACCAGTAGTGTGCAATCTGCAACCCGCGGGCCAAATGCGGCCCACGAGGGGCAATTGTGTGGCCCGCGGAGAAATGCCCTTTTGAATGGTGTGCGGCCCGCGAAACGAGTTTACAATTCAGTATAAGTCACCCAGTCACTTTATCTCGCAAAGCCCATATATATCCAAGCTTGTGCGAAGCGGACAACGTATGTCATAAGACCGATAACCAACAATTTAGTGCCTGCACTACTAGAAAGCCTATGTTAATTAAATAAAGGCATGGCTCATGGTTCCACCCAGTTCTTT